TATAGACATTCAAGTGGATGAGGTAAAGCATCCTACAGAATCCAGATACTTAGAAATTCAGAAAAGGTCTATAAGGTGTTGGTGTTGGAATAGATTTGTAGGATGTCAAGACAAACAGAGGCAGAAAATGGAAAAGTCACTGGGTGCTGGTGCCTGTAATCCCAGCTATTCAGGAGGCTGGGATCTGAGGTATTGTGGTTCAAAGCCAGATCAAGCAGGAAAGTCCATAAGACTTTTTTTTTTTAATTGTGAAAATACTGTACAGAGAGGTTACAATTACATGGGCAAGCATAAGACTCTTGTCTCCAATTAATCACCAGAAAACTGGAAGTGACACTATGGTAGAGCACTAGCCTTGAGTGAAAAAGGTCAGGGACAGTGCCCAGGCCTTCAGTTCAAGCCCTATGACTGACAAAAGAATAAATTATTTACCGTTAATCATTTTCATTGTTCAAAATTCACAGGTAAAAAGAGTATAATAGTGTAAATAGTTTTTCTCTAAATTTCCATCTTCCCTTTCAAACAGCAACCAATGTCATAATTGCCTTTATGTCTACTCAAAGATGTTCTATGCATCTATGGAATATGTATAAACCAGGCACTGGTGACTTCTATAATCCTAACTTGTCAAAAAGAACATACAGGCTGCTTCTAATCTATTGTTACAAAACTGCAATAAACTTGTTTGGATGTCATTTCAAACCTAAATGCATAGGCATTTAGGATACGTTTTTAAAATTGGAATTGAGATGATTTTAGTAGACATCCTAAAATTGCCTTCCCTCTTGCCCCATCAATTTATCCTTACATTAGTAATGAGTGGAAATCTCTGTTCCTCTAATCCTCACTATGGATCCAACTCAACACATAACACATTACATTGGGGGCCTAGCTATGTGCTGGTTATAAAGGAGTCTCATCCTTGTTTTAGAGAGCTTCCAGTAGAAATTGGAAGTTGCTGGAGATGATAACCTTTAATGAGTAATCCAAGCAGACCATTAACTTGTGTTTGTAGAAGGACAATTACAGCTTACAAAAGCCTTTACAGTATCCTACCACTTGGCTAGCTTAGGTTAAATGTTTTGTTTGATAGCGGCAGTACATGCATATAGTCTCTTATATTGGGGAGGTTGAGGCATAAGACTCATTTGAGCCCAGGAATTTGAGGTCAGCCTGGGCAAAACAGCAAGACCTCATAGTATGTTGTCATATGCCACCATGGGATTAAAAACAATGCAGAAAGCCAGTCGCTGGTGGCTCACACCTACATCCTAGCTACTCAGGAGGCTGAAATCTGACGATTGAGGATCAAAACCAGCCTGTGTAGGAAAGTCCATGAGACTCTTTTCTCCAATAAACCACTAGAAAAACTGGAAGTGCCGCTTTGGCTCAAGTGGTAGAGTGCTCGCCTTGAGCTGAAGAGTGCAGAGATAGCACCCAAGCCCAGAGTTCAAGCCCACGACCAACAAAAAAAATCCAAAAAACAATGTAGACATTTTTTTAGGCCCAAACCTGGGACTTATCCATTGAGCCATGCCTCCAACCTGGAATGCAGACATTTCTTAACCTAGGACTTCTCACCATCTTCAGAGGACAGTTGATAGACCCTTTGTTGCAGCAAGAAGTAATATGCTTTTCTATTTTTACTTTAATTTTGTTAATTTTCTATTTTTTGTTTTGTTGGTCTATTTACTTATGCCAGTACTGGGACTTGAACTCAGGGCCTGAGTCCCTAGCTTTTTCATTCAAGGTGAGTACTTTACCACTTGAATCACAGCTCCACTTCCAGCTTTTTACTGGTTAATGGAGATAAGAGTCTCACCTTCCTGCCTGAGCTGGGTTTGAACTAGGATATTCAGATCTCAGTCTCCTAAGTAGCTAGGATTATGGGCGTGAGCAACCAGCCACCACCCTGCTATATTACTTTCCCTTAACCCTTCTCTTTAAAAGGGTTTTTAGTGGATTTATGTTATTTTCAGTTATATTTAGTTGTATATGCACATATATACACATATATAAATATATGTATACATATAGATATTTGTACATACACATACATCTCTCTATATATATTTAATACACTTAAATCATATGTGTTCCCCCATCACCTCCCTGTTTTTGGTTGGTCATGGGACTTGAACTCTGAGCCTGGACGCTGTCCCTGAACTCTTCAGCTCAAGGTGAGCACTCTACCACTTGAGCTACAGCGCCACTTCTGGTTTTCTGGTGGTTAATTGGAGATAAGAGTATCACGGACTTTCTTGCCTGGGCTGGTTTGAACCATGATCCTCAGATCTCACCCTCCTGAGTAGCTAGGATTACAGGTGTGAGCCACTGGCCCCCAGCCTTCCCTTTTACAATCCTGGCCAGACCACAGGTTAAAATTGAAATTTGGGATATGGTCATTAAAAATATTTATACACACATAAGTTTTCTTCCCTGTTTACTAACCTGTCTTCTCAGCTTTAAATTTAATATTACTTCACTCATGTGCAAATAAATATTAAGTCCCTACTATGTTCCAGGAAAGCACCTGTTAGATAAAGTTGAGTAAAATACACAAATAGCTGTTGCAAGTGACTGCACAGAGAAGGTAGTGCAAAGAAAGGACTCAGGCTTCAGCTATGTGCCAAAGTAGAATGTTGGCCTACTTGTCAGTGTGGTGTCACCTGTCAGTTTCTGGGAAGAATCAGGAGTACTTTAGTCTGCTGTGAATTTCTATGTAAGCTATTTATGATCCTCTGAGAAATCAGGGCACATTAGAGCTTGGTGCCCGTAATCCTTGCTACTCAGGAAGCTGAGATCTATGGTTGGCGGTTTGAAGCCAGCCAAACAGAAAAGTCTATGAGATTCTTATCTTCAATTAACCACTCAAAAAACAGAAGTGTTGGAAAAGAAAAAAAGCTGGAAGTGGCGCTGTGGCTCAAGTGGTAGAGCGCTCGCCTTGAGCTGAAGAGCTGAGGGACAGTACCCAGGCCCAGAGTTCAAGCCCCATGACCGATCAAAAAAACAAACAAACAAACAAAAAACCCCAGAAGTGGTGCTGTGGCTCAAAGTGGTATACCTCTAGCCCTTGAGCACAAAGAGGCTCAGGGACAGTGCCCAGACCCTGAATTCAAGCCTCACAACCGCCCCCCTCCAAAAAAAGGCTTTATAATATTACATGCAAATTAAAAGTATTTCAATATCTAGGGACCTCCATCTGTTCCTATTATTAGATGGAGAATGAGTTGATCTCAGCATCAAAGGAATTTTTCAGTCAGTTGGAAAAGACTCCTCTGAGGAGATCTGACCCATAAACTTAAAGTCAAGTAAAGACAGGCTGGAAGCTGGAGAGAGACCTAAGTTTGTTCTCTGCTTGCTCTGTGTGTGTCCCTGAGCTCTTTTGCTCAAAGTTACAGCTCTACCACTTTGAGCCACAGCTCCACTTCCTGTTTACTGGTAGCTAATTAGAGATAAAGAATCTTAGAGACTTTTTCTGCATGGGCTGGTTTCAAACTGCGATCCTGGTTTGCTCAGCCTCCTGACTGGCTAGGCCTACAGGCTCACGACACTATAGTACTAGCTAGACTGAATTTCTTTTTTTCTTTTTTTTTTTTTTAGGTCCGGATCCTGGGGCCTGAACTCTGGGTCTGGGCACTGTCCCTCAGCTCTTCAGCTCAAGGCTAGCGCTCTACCACTTGAGCCACAGCACCACTTCCGGATTTTTTTCTTTTTGCCTATGTGGTGCTGAAGAATCGAACCCAGGGTCTCAGGCATGCAAGGCAAGCGCTCTACCACTGAGCCACCTTCCCAGCCCTAGACTGAATTTCTTGAGAATTGTATCCTGTCTTAATCATCTATGTCTTAAACTTGATACCAATGCTTTGATCCTGGAATCAAACCCTGAACCACGCGCATACTAGACAAATTCTCCACCCCTAAACTTTATCCCCCAACTCTTTTTTTTTGGGTGGGGGAGTCCGGTAGTGGGGCCTGAACTCTGGGCCTGGGTGCTGTCCCTCAGCTCTTCAGCTCAAGGCTAGCACTCAACCACTTGAGCCAAGCACTCAACCACATGAGCCGCAGCGCCACTTCCAGCTTTTTTTCTTTTTGCTTATGTGGTGCTGAGGAATCGAACCCAGGGCCTCATGCATGCAAGGCAAGCACTCTACCACTGAGCCACCTTCCCAGCCCCTATCCCCCAACTCTTAAAGATGGAATATAATAAGTTATATTTGCAATCTTACTTAAAAAATAAAGTTTTGAGTCAGGTACTTATGGCTCACAACTGTAATCCTAGCCACTCAGGAAGCTGAGATCTGAGGATCGCAGTTCAAAGCCAGCCCGGGCAAGACGGTCCGGTCCCTGAGACACTAATCTCTAATTAATCACAGAAAAAGTTGTAAGTATCGCCAGGGCTTAAGTGTTTAGCCTTAAGCAAAAAGGAGCTCAGGGACAGCGCCTAGGCCCAGAGTTCAAGGCCCAGGACCGGCAAAATAAAAAATAGGGTTTTGTCGCCAACTAGGGAGAGTAGATAAAAGTACTATTTTCTCTCTGCTCCCACACTTGAAACTATAGTGCTTGAATGTCGTTGGAGCGACTCTTCACACCTTTAGAGGTTTCATTCCAAAGCAACAAAGATCAACCGCGGTGAACAACTGCTTACAATTTAAGTCGCCGCAGAATCATTGGGCAACCAGGACATCCTCCTTCTCCAATCGCGGGGAAGTACTGAGAAAGAGCTCTCTGGATTGGCTAGAAGTAACATCACTCCAGGCTCATTCAAATAGGGTGTTTGCTGGCCAATCACAGGCAGCCTGATCTTACCGCCCGCGGGTGGAGCAGAGCCTGCGGCTGGAGGCGGATCTCCCAAGTGAAGGGAGAGGGGCGTGGCCTCCGCCCAGGAGCTTCTCGGCTGGTGGGCGGGGCGTGCGGGCCTGGGCGGGGCGAGCGGTGTCTGCGGCGGAGCCGGATGCGGGCGGCGCCGCGGCCGCCGAGGCCCTAGGGATGGGCGGAGCCCCGGCTGCTAGTGCTGGTGGCCGCCGCCGCTGCCCAAGCTGGGGACCGAGCCGCCGCCTCTGCTCCCGCGCGTCGTGGCTTCCCAGGCGGCGGAATGCTGGGGAAAGGCGTTGTCGGCGGTGGCGGCGGCACCAAGGCGCCCAAGCCGTCCTTCGTGTCGTACGTGCGCCCTGAGGTGAGCGGGCGCCGCAGGGCTCCACGTCGGGCTGGAGCGGCCGGGGCAGGGGCTCCGGGGCCCCGCGGCAGCGGCAGCGGCA